TCAGCCTATATATATATATATATATATATATATATATATATAATATTCAGAATCCCGTCTCTATTATGCACATCACAGAATCTAATATGTACTCATAGAGGCACCACAGCAAGGGTTCAGTGTTTTTGGAACATTCATGTTGCGTTCAGCCGACCACTGTCGAAATGTCGGGTTGTATGGATGATCAATTCAGCTTAACGTTTGCCCCTCCAAATTTGCTCGCTTTCCGTAGACTTGAGATCACGCAGGGCAGGTTCAATCAATTCAGTATGCTATCAGACGAGCTCCAATAGGCACGTTAAAGCTTTTTGAAGTTCCAAAGTCATGCAGATTCCAACGCTTGCCACATAACCTTGGCCATCGTGGCAAAAATACGATCGACCGGTCGACCAGACCAATCAGCACAGCCAGCTGTTTGTCTATTATGTGCGTGTATGTATTTCCGTGTGTAAGCCACATGAGAACGACCCCTTTTTCTCTTAGCATTAATCGGGCTATCAAGAATGTTATTGATCTTATGGTAAATAATACATCCTGACGGTGTGTCACGTGTGGCCTGCTGCGGTCTCGTAACATTGTGCAATGACGGGGTCGGTTGGTGAGATAAAACTGGTCTTATTTCCACAGTGAAATGAACTGTCTCATTGATTGCCAAAAAAGAGTTTAGTAGAGGTTACGTGGAAGATCCTAGTTGTCTGGTCTGTATCACGATTTGAAAGGGCCAACGTGCATTACAAGTGGCGAAAATTTCGACCCATGCTATATTGCGGTGCGGTTGAACTATTGGAAGATCGGATGCGTTACGCTTATACAGTCACATGTCATGTCATAGAGGTTGCGAAAGACACCTTCATAGTTGGTTAGCTGACGGGAAGAATTGATTCAACCATCCTACTAAGACGTACATCTCAGGTGTCAGTTTACAGCAAAAGGCCATCCGGTACACAGCTCACCTGCTTTATTGCAAGCTCCGAACCAATCAAACTGAGTAGCACTTGGTATTAATTTGGTCACAATATTTTAGTTAATGTTTCAATCGGCGACTCTGTGTCTCTACATAAATAATCCAAGATTTCGCACTTTACCAGTCGGTAAGATATCGGAATAGCTAGATGTTGACGGACCTTCTTTGATCAGACGAAAAAAATCGTGTTGGCGAAGCTAACCGGTCAGACGTTGGATTGGAGTCGGGCAGCACCACAGGGGCAATTTTTCGGGAATAGCATTTCGGGAAACGAACGCTGGTCGCACTGAAACCGCCAAACTGGAGCAGTGCCGTAAACTCTAGATCTGAGGGTGACTAAAGCAACTACTGTGTTTTTCGGGAATAGCATTTCGGGAAACGAATGCTGGTCGCACTGAAACCGCCAAAATGGAGGAGTGCCGTAAACTCTAAATCTGAGGGTGACTAAAGCAACTACTGTTGTGAATAGATCCCCTTGGGTCAGTCAAAAACAAGGTGTTCTGAAGACTGGTAGGAAGCAGTGTATCAGTTAACCGACCACGGAAATTTTCATGAGACAGAGGTGAATAGAGAATAGTTAACAGGAACGGGTGAGGTAATTGAAGGCTGAATCCCTAAAGAGGTCAGGTTTGCAGTTCGGTCGGAGGAAACGGGGACGACTCTCTGGATTGTGCAGACGTAGGCGACGCATCTTCAAATAGATCAGCAACATAATTAAATGGATATCGAATTTCAACTGGTTGAGCTAAGTAGGTTTCAAAGGAAAGCTGGGACCCCGTTGTTGGATCCTGTAGGGATAATTGGTATGGGCGTATGTTTGAAAACTGGGTTGGTGGATTCGAAGAGTTCGGTGCTTGTACAGGGTCAAACATCTCAGGAGCAGGACGATTCTGTACGTGTAGTCGAAAGAGACAAGTTCTCTGAAAACAGTGGGACAAACGGAATTAGTTTAGGCATCGATAAAGTATTTCGACAAAACAACTCAAAGTTCTAAGGAAACGATTGGAGCAGTTTAGAATGGCGTCCCTAAAATAGCAAGCCAACAGCAGCAAGTGTAGAACCACGTCGGGATCTAATTAAAAGACCCGAAGCAACACTATTAGAAAACAGATTCAGTGGCTCGTCTGTCATAAGGGCAACCACAACGCCCTTATCTAAGCACGACACAAAGAAAAGCAAGCTAAGTTGCAAAATGAGAAACGGGCGGAACACGTTTTGCTAAGTGAGCCTTAGGCAGATAGAACCATGCGTTCTGCGTGAATCAAACTACAGGACTTATCAAGGCGATTTTTCGGCCTAGCCCATGCGTTGGAATTTTCCAAAGAATTTGACTGCTTAAAAGCAACTTATTCTGAACTCTTTCACGATCCTCATAGGGGCTTGGTATGTACCAAGCTCTTCTCCCAGGGATCTGGAGCCCTAGGTGGCCATTTCCAAACGTACTCACTGGTCAAGTGAGAGGACGGACACCTTGACCGACCTCTTTTTTACGGGTGAAAGCTCACGATCGTCGCCTGAATGACAAGACGGCGAACGAATTCAGAACAGATTCTTTCAAAAAGATGACTGCGGGTCAATCACTCTACGTGTAGGTTTCATTAGCTGAGTCACCTGATTCACTTTATTAAACGGATGTTTTAGAAAAATTTCGCGTCGAAGCGGCATGGCTTATTGTATGGGTAGGAACTCGACTGCGGCGCTTGGTAATGGTGTATGCGTCGTACATTCGTTCGCTTTTGGCCACCGAAGTTCTCGGCATTCTTTGCTCGTAAACAGTGATTTCTAAAGCCCGAATAGTCCTGACTTTGGAACACGAAGAACCAGATAGAGACAAATACGCTCATTTGCATATCATTTTGGTTTTGATGGGAGACTCACCTGGAACCCTTATGAATCTCGTTTATGATGTTAAGAGAATTTCACTGGCACATGCACGTGTGCACAGTCAGACGAACAAAACGCAGGCCCGCTTACAATCCAGTGCTTTGTTCACTCGACAGTCCACCGTTCATGCGCCGTTTTATTGTAACCCTGGGTTGGATAGCATGCACCCAGTCTGTATTCATGTGAGCCGAGGAACCGTCGACCTAAAGGTCAACTTATGCTTGAGTACACATGGCCCTTCTATCAGGCGTCTCGGCTGCCGCGTGTTCATTCGTTTTCGATATTTCGGGCTCATTTCTCATCATGAAGTAAGGAAACATTTTATGAACGATTTTTTATCTACTTGACAGGAAACACTACTCAGTAGGTCGCCGAAGACTCACTACGACGGCTCACTACCGGTTTTGCCCTTTTAAATGTTGTGTTCCGTTGAGAAAACATTGATATACCTCTAATATAGTGCCAACTGAAACGACGTGAATGCAGTCGGGGAATATCATACACGCGGGAACTCATTTTAGTCTATTGTTAACACCGATGTAACTTAGAAATGAGTATTTCTTCGAAACATTGACTCACTTTCCCATACGCCAGCGATGGCCGTTGGATTACAGCTTGCCGGAAGAGGAAATACTACTTACGCTCGCTTCAGAGTCGCCTTCATCACCGACTTCCTACCATCGACCAGAACCAGGAACTTTCGGTAAATTACTTCGGGATTTTGGGGGGCTCAAATGAGATTATCAAGGTTTTTTAGGTGACTTTGAAAAATTGCTCACCTAAGTAAACCTGGCACACCGGAATTCGCAGAAAAACGCATCGGAAAACGCCGGAAAAAGACTGTAGAGTCCAAGAGATTTTTATTAGCCGGAAGTTGAACAGCATTGGGTCATGAAGAGCCATGTGAATGCTTTGGTAGTTTATTCGATTTCAACACCACATCCGGCTGTCGCTAACCCTTGAAACTCCTCTATCGGGCTTGTGTATCACGTGACTCGGCAGTTGCGAGACAAATGCACTCAGGATGGATTATGGAGACTTAGGTGGATCGAACTCCGACCGAATTTACAACGTGATTCAACTCATTGTTTACTGTCCAAGTTGAAAAGGTATTACCAATGATGTACCTCGGAAGCGCTAAAACTTATCATGTTTATGGCTTAAATGACTGGTGACCAATAAAAAAAATACGAAATAAGCCGTCACTGAACTAAATTACTCCGCACAAAAAGTGTGGATAGCTTCGGGGAATTGAGTTTCCAACGGGACTGAACGTCGGCTATGGAGTGCTTGAGAATTGTCTAATCTGGCTAGAGCCAGCGAATTCGCTAGACATTTTTTCAAGTGCACTGCATGAGAGTTCAGGTAGTATTCATTTGACGGATAATATTCATATATGACGTTCGCATTCTATCGATCATAATATTCTTCATCTGAATGTGCTGCAGAAAGTGTACCAAATGTTTTAGTTGGAACGGCATTTAAAATATAAATGAGGGGTTGCGGCTGAACTTCATTGAAGTCTCCCAGTAACATCAGACCAATTTTCAAGTGATCGTTTATAACCCTAAAAAGTTTGACGCTCAAATATGAAACAGTGGTGACCAGGCCAGACTGATGAGTCGCAGAGGATGGGCTTTGTAGAGCTTTCACGGACCTTATGAGTAGTCTCATGTGAAGCAAAGTACTTCGACGTTTTCAGTGTTGTTCTAGCCGTGAGGCGGCCTTAGTGCACCACACAGCATCGATGAATACAACTATTCTTGTGTTAGCACTTACACGACATTCAAGACCCACGGGCATGGCCTCCCAACCGGTTCGAACCGGTACGGGGCATGCACATGGAAGTACGAAGGAAAATTCTGAAGGTTGGTGTAGCGCAGTAAAAACGAGGCTATCAGGTGAACAAGTTTACGCTTGAATCTGTTACAATTGTGTGCGTAATCTTTTTACGATCTACCCAGGTAGGTCATCAGCCATAGGACCTGAGTGATATTGGCTGGGGATCGTGCTCTGACGCTGAAATGCTTGATCTTAGCAGTTACGCACGCGCCATTCCGCGCGTCAGACTATGCAGTGAATCTGCGTCACAGACGCTTCCAATGGTGTTCTGTGAAGTGATCGTGATGTGGTTGAAAATCACTTTAAACGTGAAATGAGGTTTTTCGCGGAACTAATGGTCTCAGCCGAGAGGGAGCCCTGGATGATGAGATCTGCTTTCTCAGTTCGCAACAGTATCATGATCAGCATCTATAGGGAAATAGGTTTTTTTTACGTACTTTCTGATTCATTCGGATGTGGTGACTGAAAACGATAGCTGCATGAGAATTTTCACGACATACATGACGCACAGCGTCAACGAGACAGAAGAGAAGCTTTCACCTATTTTTTGTCAGGATTCAGCTGAATTAATCATCGCATAGACCATTAACCGTTTGACCTCCCCAAACTACACACTTAAATAGGTCACCATGTATGAATGGACGTGTGCGTACTATCTTCTCTGGGTCACTTATTTATTCAGTAACAAAATTCAGTGAGAGGGATTCAAAAGCGGAACTGCTGATAGCGGGAACTTAAATGATTTTGACAACTCAAGATGTCAGCGAAATACATTCATTTGCATACCAATTTGGTTTTGACAGAAGATTCACCTGGAACCCAGCTGAATCCCTCGCTTGTGGTGTTCTCAAGAAACTGAATATGCTGCTCCAGGCCGCCTCATGTTTCAGCTGGTATGACATACAAGATACAAGACGCAATGAGTGTATTACGCTAATTTCATGCGATTTGGGCTCACTTAGAACATGGTGGATGGAGACTAGGGGACTGCGCCTACTTGATGAGCCCAATAAGGGCGAAACCGGCCGTGGACTGCCAAAGAGTTTTCAGCAACCTTATGAGTAGTGTATGTTGCCCCGATTGGACCAGGATATCGCTAGCGTATTTCTTATCTGGGGGACCAGCCTCAAGAGGCGGGTGATTCGGGCTCAGTTCAGAGGTGCAGTACGGTCTCAGGAGATATAAATCAAAATAACCGGATCCGAAAAACATCCCTTTTACTAGAGAAGCAAATTAGCTAACGGTTTTTCATCCGTCGACTAGGCAGCCCTGTTAGAACCAAGCAATAATCAAGGCGATTGAGATGTTGCAAGTGTTCTTTTGCGCTATGGAAAGCATCCTAATGAACGAATGTACAGTACTCTGTCTGTCTAACAATCGTTCGTGTGGATGTGCACGGCACTTGCAAGTGTTAGGCTTTTCGTCCTCTCACAGTGCGACCGGATTCACTTGATTTGCTCGTGGTCACACTAACGTGGGGTGGTGTTACATAAACAAGCGAAATTTAAAAGTGCATTTCCAGTGAACGCAACACACTCCAAACTGGCTCCCAATGTATGCATTAGAAAACGGTCTCTAGGAGAAATAAGTGGGTTCATTCAACCGATAGGGTAGTATGGACGATGAAGTAATCACTAATTTTCCTCACCGCATGTACCTGGCATTGCAAACATCAACTGAATAGCGTGTGAAACAAACCAACAACGAGTAACCTGAAAACAACTGACAGTCCAAGTAATTGGAGAGTGTAGTTTCATCTCCAAGGCGCATACTATGGGCCTTGAATGAATGGTATCAGCACATAGCATTTGAAAACGATTTCGTGTACGTACTTATAGAGAAAGTCCAACATAACGGAGAGATGCAAATTCGGGGAGAGCTTGGGCACAAGTTGTGTCTGGAATCCCAGTTTACGTTTTGAACACATTTTGATGAAACATTACTACATCGGGATCGTAGTAGAATAACCGGCGAATCCCGACTAAAATACATCCAGATGGCTTTAGATAAAACCCAGCCAGAAGCTAGAAGTTACCAATTTATTAAAAAAAACAGGTGCCTGGTTCGGTGGAGCGGGGCACATGCATAGTTTCAAAATGAAATACCTCAAAGCAGCTAACCAGTTACTTTGACTATCCACTAAAAGCACATCAGATTGAGCGAGAAACAGGAACCATGGGGCACGGTCCACAAA